TGTGTGTGTGTCTGTTGGTTAAGTGGTGTGTAGCTAAAAACATTCTCACGACCTCTAGTAACATGTCGTGACTTAAACATAAGAACATATTATGGCTAAGGCTACAGTTATACACGTCATAATAATAATATTAAACATCCTGTCTGCTGACAGTCATCAACTCTTCTCTCTAGTTATCCTTGACCAGATGTACCCTGTAGAAACTCATAAGCATGACTAAGCATTTAACAGTCTAACTAGACATCCTATCTCCACTAAACATTTCTAATACATAAAGTATCTATCCAATTTCTATCTGACTAAAAATACCTAACAGTATACAAGAGCACAAATGTGTATATGCATACACAAAACAATGCCATGGTTGTGCATTTAAATTTCTTTCAACACATTCCATCTAAGCTAAGTTATGATGGAACACAAAGCCCCAAAGTCATCATCCTCCTCATGAGGAGAAATGGGTTATATTTAGTCTAGATACTTGTTAGAGTCTGATTACATCTTTTTCTCTATTAGGACTGAAAGACTGTTAGTTACAAGCTACCAGCTCGCTGTCTCACAAACTAAATGTAGGCCACTGGCATTTTAGCTTTCATGACCACAGCCATGCTGAGTTTGGTACCGTCTGTACTGTACAGGGTGGGCGAGAGGGCTAAAAATAAATAAACGCTTGTTTCCATCTTATCCATGACTACCCAAACAACCTACTGCCTTTTCTAGCTCACAGCAGCCACCACACACAGCTGTCAGTATCTGAGAATATCGAGCACCCCAGAGACTGGGAAAGTGAGCTGCTGCTTCATGTCCTGTTGTGGCCTCTGTTCTCACCAACCATCCCACCTATTTATTACATCTTTCCGACGCGGATTTCAGGACTGGGCTGACGAGACGATGACTCAATGAATAATGTTTACCTTATAGATACACATATGGCTATCGTACAGCACGTCAGGTTAGCAGTAACTCTAGTATGCAGCCTGGACACTGATGTTTTGCGCCACAAGTTTCCCCGTCCAAGCTAACGGACATGATAATTAGCTACACTAGTATGAAGACAGAAACTGGAAAACGAAATAAAAATGTAACACCATCTACAAAGACTAACTGCTAACGGTAGACCGTAAGTTTCTTGTCAGACTAACATTATGTAACTCGGCATGAACTCGCTTCAATGATCCACAAACAAGCTTGGCTAGTTAGCATGCTTTTAATACCAATTCGTTACCGTTAATGCTAAGTTATCAGGGTTCTTCCATCAACAACCCGACCAACAGCATACGCTAATTACCTGCTGGTGAGGGGGAACAACACTGTAGCCAGTGGCTCTGAAAGCTGGGTCAGTGTTAGACTCTTCATCGCGGCAAACTGGTGCTCCGTTGCCCAACCACTCCATCACTGCTAAGCAGCTAGCTGTTAGCTCTGATGTGGGGTCTGCTAGCTAACGCTAGCTGTGTCTAAATAATCAACCGTCTGCCAGAGTTATGATCTAAATGCCAGACTAAAAAGTCATTAAAACCGACCGAATAATAAAATGCACCAAGGTGGTGGTTTTTAGCGCATGTAAATAGCAAGGTTAGACACAAAAACAACACCCACGGACAACTCTAAATAACTCGGTTCAGTCTTTTTAAGAGGTGACACGCAAACCACGTGGTAAACAACTCTGACCACGTGACACCTGTCTCAAGTAAGGACCATGTTCCGCCTACAGCACGATGAGTTTTCATGGAACACAGGGCACCAAGATCATATCCTCCTCATGAGGAGAAAGAGCTTATATTTAGTCCAAATACTTATTACTTCCCCACAAGTTTTGTATATAGTCTGATTACGTCTTTTTCTCTATTAGGCGTAAAAGCTGATAGCTACAAACTACCATCTCATTCCTATCGCACACACAAAACAAAAATGTATATACATATATAGTATTTTGGTAAGTGTTTAGTGTTGGGTTAGACTAAAATACATTTTATTAATCGTTGCTTTAGAATTTGACCCATGAGTCTGGAAATATATTGTGGCGAAAACAAACGTTTCAAGACACGTCTTTTAAAAACAACAAATTATTTCATAGCCATTGAAAACAATTAAGCAGTGCGCTATAAATTAAAGAAGTTACAGTGTCGAATGCTCACGGAAGACGATCTCTGTGACTCGAGTGTATATAATACACGAGAGTCACAAGCTAGGGTTAAAGTTTACTATTGCAGTACCGCTCCCGATAAACTCAATAGTCTCACTGTCTGGCGTTGTACATACTTATGTTTGCTACTAGCGGTCAGACATTCAAAAATTATGGTCTGTCCGTTTTGATGGTGAGTAGCTAAATGTTGGCGATTAAACCCGGGTTTGTGTACAGTAAAGGTAACCCATGCCTGACCGGTTTCATGCAGGGCAAATTTAGCGCGTGACAAATTGTACAAACTTTACCCTAAATAACCGGAAGTAACTAGTGAGGTACTATACCCTACCGGATAGCTAACCGGAAAAAGTACTAAGATGGTGAGTCCGACCGCATTGTTATAACATTGGTGTTATTAAATATTTTTCGCTTGTTGACAACTAAAAAATAACGTCGACTGTGCACTGGAGACAAACATAACAACCTAGCATTGAGGTTTGTGAGCGATCTTACAGGGAGTCACGAGCCATCTAATGTTGGTGACGTTACAGTAGCGTTATGATGGTAGAAATGATATGTTATGGCACGCTGTTGTGCAATTTAGTCATTACGTACCAAAATGTCTAATATACATATCTAATACAAAACCTCAGAGTGTGTGTTTGATTTGACTGGGCCAGAACAGATAAGCTAATGTTGGCTAACAAAAGGGGGTGGGCTATCGTTTTTAACCGCAAGGTGGCGATAGAAGACAATAAAAATACCTGACTGCAGATGCCGTACATCTCTTTTTCTTTTCCTCCTCCATTCCCTGTAAAAGTGCTGGGACAGAGCGGAATGCCAAAACCCGCCTTTAGAGCCTGCAGACATTCAAACAGGGAGAAACAACCAGACTTAAGGCCTAAAAAAACATCCTCAGCCAGAATACAAGTCTCATGGCCAGCTGGCATCTTGCCCTTTCTCAGGCTGCAGGTTTCTCTCTCTCTCTCTGTGCGTGCGTGCAGCAAAACTAGTTCATGATCATTACAGTATCCCTTATGGCATGCAGGCGTTTTTCTCACATTTGGTTTGATTTTCACTTGGAACAATGATATTAGAGGCTAACATACTATTTACCTATGCCCATTAGCTCAGTGCAGTGGCTTGACCATAACATTGTGTATGTGTAACCGGTCTAGCACAACACAACGCAGAAGTCCACAGGTCACATATGGTAGATTATTGCATGTGTTGCAAGTGAAAATATATCTACTTTAAGGTTGTGACAAAAATGTACATGTGGTGCAGACTTCCTATTTGTACTTTATTTTTGTACATTTATGTTTGTCTCCATGCCTTTATCTATAGAGTAACAGCAACACATCATCCTGAGGACAGAAATGAACCTTGCTACTCCAGAGGCAATGGGTTTGTATCACAGTTATATTACACACAATATTTAATATAGAAACAACATACATGAGGATTAACTCTTGTGAGTTATGATGATGATGCACAGGCTCCAAATATATGACATAGCTAAGTAATGTTGAAATTAAATTTACATTACCTTTAATGTCATTATTGGCATGTAACATAACTTTTATAGAGTGGTTATAGGTCAGGTAAATTCACCTACATTTTATGCGGTAACTCTAATTATCACAGGAATTAACATAATCATTAACCATTATAGGCCTATCAAACTAGTTGATAATGTTTTGGCCTGAAAGTTAAATTACTACCATACTATATTAAAGGATAAAGCTGGTCATTTTCTATATTAATAGTATTTTCAGCCTCCACACAGAGACTAAAACCAAAAATGAATTGCCTCTACTCTGAGTTAACGTCTGTCAGCTGTCAGTCCTGGATTAGCTTGTTCGTCCCTGCAATGGATTTCTGTTGTTGTTAAAGGAAGCACTCCACTGTGCTGGGTTACACACATTTTCATAACGAACAGCTAAGACCCGACTATGTTGTCCCAAAGGCATAATTTCCTGAAGTTAACACGAGTCAGAGTCAACTGTGCATGCACAAGATTTTGTGCAAGCTCTCGTCTTTCTTTACAGTCCTCTAGCTCCTTTTGCTAATGAAGAAATGTGTAACCCATTGCAGTGTTGTGATGTGTTTTTAATCATTTTTGAACAACAACAGTCGTTTATGGCACAGACAAACAAGCTAATCCAGGACTGACAGATATTAATTGTTGATTTTATTCTCTGTATGGAGGTTGCTGAAAACTGATTGGCTTTATCCTTCAAATAACCCCACTGGACTGAAATGTTGGTGTCCACATTTAACACGTAAAAACTGACTTGAAAATAATCTTAAATCCCTTTGTTAGAGCAAAATTGTAACAGTTTTTAGCATATTTTCTTTTGTAACAATAGCAACATCATCAGTTTTTTGCTGGTACAGATCTGGAGAGGTATTTAAAATGCCAGCATTGCTTTAATACAAATCAAATTTGGCAATTGCTGGTACTCTCCTCATTTTGAAGACTCTGTAGTGGCACCTGTTGAAAGTTTTCTCCAGCCCCTACAATAAAATACACAAGAGGAGAAGTACTTGTAGAAGAATGTTGTGGCATCTGTCCAGTGGAATTGAGCCACGTGCACAACTTCTGCCAAGTCGCACTGAAGCTGTTCTGGTCACTGTAGTGACACCGAATGCCACATTTAGACACTTGATCTTTGTGTTTCCTTTATTTTGGCAACTGCTTGGCAACAGACTGTTAGACCTGCCTGTTAATCTAATTTTATGAAAATATAAGTGTGAGTAATATAGTTTTGTAAAACCAGGAGATTAAGATAGTGTCAGATTACTTTAAACTCCACTTCGTGAAAATGTCGGTATTTTCTCATATTTCAAATTCCCTTGTCTTGAAAAAAGCTGTTTTCCCGAGGTGAATGAGTACATGTTCTCTGTGTGTCCATGTATTTATACGAAGAGATGGGGTTATTATGTTGTAGTGAATGGGGAGCCTCCAGCTCTGTCATTCACCCACCATCCAGGACTATAGAGAAGCTAAATGCTCCACATTCCTCTCCTCTCCTTGCCACTTCTTCTCTATCCATTCCTCATAAAAACATTGAGACTGAAATGAAGTGGGTTCTGCTGTTCGTATTTATGTGAGTCCCTGTGCATGTACCCATGTGCATCGGTAATGGCAGAAAACCACAGAGAACAGCAACTTTGTATCCCTTTAGATGTTTGAAATTGAAGGACCTTTCACTAGACATTAACAACGGTGTTTTAGCACATAGGAGCCCATTTACTACAAATCCTGTCTGCAGTGTTGTTGACTGATTTCCATAGCATGCTGTAATGTCAATGTCAAAGCCGTAGCATCATGGTAAGATACCAAAGTGTAGGTTAGTTTAAAAAGTCTGTTTCATTGCAACGGTTAAGCATGTTTTCTGCTGAACAGAAGGTAAAGTTAATGTTTTAGAGGCATGGTAAGATACCAAAGTGTAGGTTAGTAGGTTAGGTTAGCATGACAAAAATAAAATGTGAGGCCATGAGAGATGGAGTAAAGACAGAGGCCAACACAGAGAGAGAGAGAGAGAGAGAGAGGCCTTTTGGTCTGCTTTCCCAGGCTATGCATCAGGAAGGCTGTATTTTTTACATCATGACCACCGCATAGCCCTTTCCTGGGGAAGTCGGAGAAAAAATTGAGAGAGGCTGCTGCAAGGAGGAAGAGGAGAACAGGAAAACTAGCCCTGGGAAGGAGGAAGGGAGGTAGGGGGGCAGGTACAGAAGAGCCCACACAGCATGAGTGACAGAGCAAGAGGCTGAAGCATTTGGGCAGGCTTAGTGGAAAACGTGCACAAGCAAACAGACAAATAATGTGAAATACAAGGATGTGCACATCTTCTCTTGTTTCCAAGCCCTTTTACCCACTGTGTCATTCCATAAAATCTACCCTGAGACTTGTCTAGAGTATTTTGGCTGCATATTCAGCTGGAATGCAGAGCTAATGCTGGGTTCCTTTACTATCCAACCAGCCTCAGTTGTTAATCCAATGTTATGGCTTCTCTGCTATGCTTGTTAAAGAAATAATATTTGACGTTATGGCTATTCAGCTATGCTTGTTTTAACAAACAATATTTCCAGTATATCAGATTACCTATAAGCTAAGATTTAGGCTGGAAACAAAACAGATAGATTGGCAATAAATTTACCTTTGTCTACATGACCAGTCTTTAAGAGCAAGAGCAAATCAACATAGTCTTTGTATGACCTGTCCCAAGCTTGTATTTACCCAGAGTTGTTAGTCATTGCAGCCAGGAAATAGTGGTTGGCAAAGATGATCAGCAATGTTAATTGTGCTATTGGGACAAAGTAAATGATAGAAAAATGAAGTTGCCATAATTATTGACAAAAGGACCCATCTAGTACGTAGCCTAAACATTTTTTTTATGACCCACAGTCTCAGGATTTAGATTTGGAGGATTTGCATCTTGCATATGTTTCATTTTCCCAAATCAGAATTCTTTACTTTAATACCCAAAAGATAGGCTCAAAGAGTTAAAAACTAAAGTACTAAAAACCCCAAAAGGTCGGAGTCCTTGACAGTTTGATAGAGATCAATGGTCAGAGTGAAACCCCACCTCATCTATACATGTGTGTGATCCCCCCCAGGTCTTGACCCTGCTGTGCTGAGAGACCAACTCCTTGAGCTATGGAACTTGAAAGATCTGCAGACGGTGAGAGCAACTTCCACAGCATGTGTCAATTCCACACACTCCATATAGAGTGTGTGTGTGTGTGTGTGTGTGTGTGTGTGTGTGTGTGTGTGTGTGTGTGTGTGTGTGTGTGTGTGTGTGTGTGTGTGTGTGTGTGTGTGTATAGAGGTAGAGAGAGCCTTTTTGTGTTTATAAGAAGCACTCATACAGGAAGGAACACAAGAGAGAGAGAGTGCTTGGGTACTAGCTTGTTTAAATGACGCCCATGTGTTAATGAAGAAACCAGAGTGAATGTCTGTAGGAAAGAAGGAATTTGTGTTGCACTGAATGAACTTCGGATCTGTGAGAGAAGGATATTGAGTGGATGACATCTGTTTTGCAAATTAAGACACGGTGCAAGGCATTCTCACAGAGATATTATTTTCTTGTGTAGGAAGTACCTGTTGCCAGAGTTTGCATTCTTAAGCTGAGACCCAGAATGTGTCACGTGTGTTTAGGGGGCTCAGGGAGAGAAGTGAGTTGTTCGTCTTCACCAGCTCCTGTATTTCAGCTAGTCTGTAAATTACTTGCCTCTTAACTAGTTGGAGAAAGCTTTTCAATTTTTTATAACCGCTAAAACATTTTTAGAAATTCATAATTTACACTTGTATCATACGTGTAAATTGTGTTGAACAAGCACCCTGAGTGTTTCAAACTAAAGCAACAGGTGATTTGGACCTAAATGGAGGAACGGTTGTCTGTTTTTCATTAACTCTCTGACTGTATATAAAATAGGGTTCAGATTTGAATAAATCCATCTTAAAAATACAACAACATTTTAAAAATGATAAAACTGTTACGTTTCCTTCTCTAACATTATAGTTTTACCACTCCCTCCTTCTCTGTTTCCCCCCACAGCTACATTTGGCATCTCATCAGGGATTTTCAAAGCTTTCTCAGCCTCTAGAAGGCTTACTAACAATTCTTGAGGGCTGTTCTGGCAAACAGAAGGGCCGGAGCCACACCTTCAGCCATCACATCCTCTTGGAATACCAAACATGGATGAAAGAACATCCACAGGTAAATGAAATTAATCACAGAAACATTTTTAAACTAAAGAAATGTTCTGCAGAGTTATAGTTCCAGGTGTTTCACACCTGCACTTCTACTGTTACAGTCCAAGCTGTTTCACCTTTTAGCAGTTAGTACACATCAATTTATTGCATTGTCATCTTTATAAAGTGGCAGAAGGCATGCATTATGCTGTCTGATGCATACATACTTTATGTCAAGACATTTCCATACATTGTGTTTTATAAAACCATAAATGTCGCTTCAGTGTATTCAGACTGCAGCCATGCGGTAAGAGGTACACAAATGTTATGAAGTCCTAGGTTCGGCAGATTGCCAGAACAGTATTTGCAGAAAAATGATGAATGTCACTTTTTCAAATATGATGGTAACATGCCAGTGCGTTTGAAGTGAAGTGTGTGTCTAAAGGAGTTAAAGCCGGTTTCATGAAGTGCTTTGCAGCTTTGCATCTAAAAAGAGAGTGCAGGAACACATGGATCATGTAAACTGTTCCTGGCCTCCTGATGATATACATTGGAAAATAAATTTTGGCATCCTTTGTGTTCTTCCACCAGGTCACCCTGAGCTTACTCTCAGAGGATCAAGCATTGGCGCTCCAGCGTCGGGCTCTGAGCTTACTAACAGATGCCCAGTCTGCCTTTGTAGGGTGCCTCATAGACATCTACCAGCTCAGTTCCCTGGATCCAGCCATACTCCGACAGCACATTATGAAGTTACAGGCCCTCAAATGCTACAAAGAGGTGAATGCCTTTTTTTAACAACTGATTTAATGGCAGAAAGACAAAACTGTAGAAACTGAAATTAAAGCAGATGCAAAAGATTGTCTCTAGTCATTGAATTTCTGTCTTGTCTTTCACAGGCAGCTGTGCTCAGCATAAAGCTGAAGGTCCAGAAGGAACTGACAGTGGAAGAGGTGAGACAGATATTTTTAATATATACAGACGTGGACAAAATTGTTGGTACCCTTCTGTTAAACAAAGAGAAACTCACAATGGTCACTGAAATAATGTGAAACTTACAAAAGTAATAATAAATAAAAAAATTTGGAAAATTAACTAATGAAAATCAGTTATTGCTTTTGAATTGTGGTTCAACAGAAGAATTTTAAAAATGAAACTAATAAAACTGGCCTGGACAAAAATGATGGTACCCCTAGAAAGGATTGAAAATAACTTGACCATAGAGACATGTTAAACTAAAGTGTGTCCTGTAATTAGCATCACAGGTGTTTTCAAACTTGTAATCAGTCAGTCTGCCTATTTAGAGGGTGAAAAGTAGTCACTGTGCTGTTCGGTATCATGGTGTGTACCAACACTGAACATGGAACACAGAAAGCTAAGGAGAGAGTTGTCTCAGGAGATTAGAAAGAAAATTATAGACAAACATGTTAAAGGTAAAGGCTATAAGACCATCTCCAAGCAGCTCCATGTTCCTGTGACTACAGTGGCACATATTATTCAGAAGTTTAAGGTCCACAGCACTGTAGCCAACCTCCCTGGATGTGGCCGCAAGAGGAAAATTGATGACAAATTGAAGAGACGGATAATGCGAATGGTAACCAAAGAGCCCAGAACAACTTCCAAAGAGATTAGAGGTGAACTCCAAGGTCAAGGTACATCAGTGTCA